AGGGAGAGAACCATCAGAGGGAAGATCTTCCTCGATGTCACTCCTCCTCTCTGTATATCCACCTTTCCAATAAAAATAAATAAATCTTAAAAAAAAAGAATTGCATGAATGAGGGATCACATCCTCATTTGCTAATTTTATTAACCTATTTATTTCCCCAGAGATCAAGGGGAGTATGGCAGGTAGAAGCTAGAAAGACTGGGTTGTGTCAGCCCTTCACAGTCTCTCCCCACCCCGTTACCCCACCGCTGTCCCATCACTGGATGGGTAACATGTCCCCCCAGAGAAGGAGAGCTTGGCAAAAGGAGGACAAGAAAGCCTGGAGGATTGTAAGTGATCTTCGGAGAGGCCGAGCCCCATGGAAGCCTTTCCTGTCAGAGAAACAACTGGGGGATCTGAACTCCGCTTCCTCTTCTAAACATGGGAGGTATGCTAGTGTGCTTCATTTTCCTTTTTTAAAAAAAAACATTTATTTCTATTTATCTGAAAAATAGAGGAGGGATTAGGGAAGAGACAGAAAGAATTTTCTATCAGCTGGTTCACTCTCCAAATGTCTGTAAGAGTTGAGGCTGGGCCAGGCTGATGCCAGGAGCTGGGAACTCCATCCTGGTCTCCCCTATGAGTGGCAGAGATCCAACTACTTGGGCCATCTTCTGCTGTCCCAAGGGCATCAGCAGGGAGCTGGGCAGAAGCAGAGCCACTGGGACTCCGTCACTCCCATCGGGGATGGAGTCAGGAGGCAGCTTACACTCTCCGTGCCACAAACCTGGCCCCCTTGCTAGTGTATTTCTCATGGTGGTGTTGTGATGATCGAGCAAGACAGTTCATGTAAAACTTGCGACGTTATTTACCAGCACATAGTCAATACTCCAACTAAGAGCACTGTTGGCCTTGTCATCAGAGGGTCACATGGGGCTAGCCCAAAATTCAATCAGGCCCTGAGTCAAGGGAGAAAGATCCACAGACTGCCTCTTATAGCTCTGAAATGGGGATTCAGCTCTTTATCTCCACTTGACAGATGGGCAAACTGAGGTTAGGGAGCAGTAGCGTGTACAGAGCCAGGGAGCTATGGACTTTCAGTCCTGGACCACTTTACTGCTAGCATGATTTGCTTGATCTTCTGTGCAGCATTATCTCCCGATCTGGAACCAATCAAGCAGTCTAAGGTCAACTCCCAGTGCCATTTTACACTATTTCCGTGCTGGAGGGACAAGGGTTGTGCAATTAGGACAGGAACTGTGCAAGTAATGAATCAAACCATGACTTGCTGTGTCCATGTGTGCTTGAAAGAGAAACAGAAAGAAACACGTGCTTTTGAGCTGGGGGTGTGAATTTTCCTAGCACGTCAAGAGCTGTGGTTTCATGTGAGAGTCACTTTCTAGCTGCCCACAAGTGCTGCCATCCCCGTGTGGGTGCTCCCTGAAACAAAGAAACAGAGTTCTGGGAACACTGAAAATGTCTCCTGTCCAGGGCCAAGATCTGAACATAATCCTCCCCGACGATGGAGAGGCTGAAACCTCAATCTGCAGATCGGCGTAAAGGAAAGAGGAGAATGAGGCCTGGCAACACAGGAAGATCCATTAGAAGAGGGAGTTTCACCTCATTCCCATGCCAGCATCTGGCAGGTGTTTAGTGTCCAAACAAGGACAACGTGCATGCCATTATCTGGTCCTTACAGTCTCTAAGAGCTTTGCTAGAGGTGTCAGCTGATGTTTCGGAGCAGGAAGCAGATGTAGCAGGAGAGAGAGAATAATGTGTCAAGCAAGTAGGTAGGGAGGTGACTAATTCTGCAGAGAATTTTTGTGCTTAACAATCTTCTCTGGGCATGGCACAGTGGCCTAGAAGCTAAAGTCCTCGCCTTAAACACACTGGGATCTCATATGGGCACTGGTTCTAATCCTGGCAGCCCTGCTTCCCATTCAGCAGCCTGCTTGTGGCCTGGGAAACCAGTCGAGGATGGCCCAAAGCGTTGGGACCCTGCACCTGTGTGGGAGATCCAGAAGAGGCTCCTGGCTCCTGGCTTTGGATTGGCTCAGCAGTGGCCGTTGCACTCACTTGGGGAGTGAATCATTGGACGAGAGATCTTTCTCTCTGTCTCTCCTCCTCTCTGCCTTTCCAATAAAAATAAAACTTTAAAAAAATATCCTTAAAAAAGTTGAACAGGTATCTAAGCTATTCCAACTACACTAATCTCTGCTTCTGAACTAGTTCAAGGTTAAAATACTGTTACCCTAGGTTTGGGAGAGTAAAAATATATATATTAATTAACTCTTCCCATTATATTTGAAAACCAGACACTAATCTTATATATCTTCTCTATATCCACAGTACCCAGTCTCACTGGAGCACATGGTAGCACTTAAGACTGACTTTCTTACTGCTTCATTAGCCGGTTACGCAACAAAAATATACAATGCTGAAAACCTTCCACAGCACTGTATGCTGTGATAATTACTGCACAAACGATTATCCAAATAACAAAGACCACAGTCCATGGAGTCATCAGCTGTACAATACTGAATTTTTTTTTTAAAAAAACTGACTTATCTGAAATGTAGAGCGATGGGAGACAGACAGAGATAAAGGTATCTTCCAGCAGCAGTTTATACCCCCAAACGGCTGCAAAGGTCAGGGCTGTCCAGGCGGAAGCCCGGAACTTGGAGCCGGGTTGGCAGTAGAGCAACTGGGACCCAGTGCTCCATGAAGGGATTAGCAATGGCTTATTGCACTGCGCAACACTGGTGCCGTTCAACTCTTGAAAAAGCACATTAGGGGCTGGTGTAGTAGATGAAGCCTCTGCCTGCAGTTCTGACATCGGTTTCACTTCTGATCCAACTCACTGCTGATGTGCCTGGGAAAGCAACAGCAGATGACCCAAGTACTTGGGTCCCTGTGCTCATGTGGGAAACCCAGAAGCTCCAGGCTCCTGGCTTCCAACCAATCCTGCTATGGGCAGCTGTTGTAGCCATCTGGGGAGTGAATGAGCAGAAGGAAAATCAATCTTTCCTTCTCTCTCTGTAAATCCACATTTTCAATAAAAAATAAAAAAGTATTTCAGAGAGAAAAAATGGATAAACTGCCAGGCACCAGGGACATATGGATGGATGAAGCAGTTCCCTCATTCGGAGCTTACAGTTTGGCAGAAGGGAAAGAGCGTGTGAGAAGCTTCCAGGGATGGGAGGGAACACTGCAAGGCCTAAGCGACCTTGAATGTCAGCCAACAGGGCACAATGTCTGTGGGAGAGGTGGGGAAAGACATTCCAGAAAAAAAAAAAAAGACAGTTAATAACTGAGGAAGGGCAGAGCTGACAGAGGCTGGGTTTCCACTCACTGCAGAGCCTTCATTCTCTATACACAGAGTCTCTGAAAATAATCCAAATACAGTGAGTGTAGGAAAATGTGAACGCTAATGAATATTTTTGTGTAAGAATATTCTGTATGCAACTGTAATACTTTTATGTAAGCATCTTTCAATATAGGCCACTTTTTTTTTATAATTTATATATTCGATTTCACAAAGAATGCTTGTCATAGCACCAAACATTGCTTCCAATAGAAAAATGCATATGTATATTTTTAAAGATTTATTTGAAAATGAGTTACAGAGAGAGGGGGGAGAGACAGAGCGAGCTGCCTCCTTGTTCACTCCCCCAGAGGGCCCCAAACGCCAGCTTCATCTGGGCCTCTCCCACAGGGGTGGCAAGGGGCCCAAACCCCTGGGCCTTGTGCAGGTCCGTTGGCAGGGAGCTGGGCTGAAGTAGAGCAGCCTGGACAGGAACTGGTGCCTACCTGAGATGCCAGCATCACAGCAGATGGCTTTACCAACTATGTCACAGCACCAGATGCCAAATGAGTTATTTTTACAAGCAAGAATAGAGTCACTTTGCCTTAGGGTTTACAGAGATTACAGAAGCAAATCTAATAAAGAGGGGCATTAAAAGCATTAAAAACCCTGCTAATAAAATCATTAAATACTAATACCTTGTATTTCAGAAGCCTCTTAAAATATACGGTCACCGGTTTAGACATTCGTTTGAAAAGTGCTTTTGAAAAAGAAAATGCCCTAGTACAGTGAGCATAACCTAGAAAGAAAAAAAAAGTTGACATCACACTGTAATAGATGCAAACTTTTCAGAAAGCACCTTTAAAAATATCTGTAACTACTGTATCACATAATACAATGTTATTAACAATAAAAAAAAATCTGTAACTTTAGACACAGGGCAAGTCAAATTTCATCCCCCCTCCCAAAAAAAAAGAGAATATTAAAACGTATGTAACACTGAGCACAACACAGGTCCATCCTGTTGCTATGAGAACTTTCTATTTTGTCTCAGAAATCGCAGCCTTGACAACGCAATGTTTGTGCCTATTTGGCTCTTTTTTTTTTTTCTACAGCGACTCCATCCAGTAGTAATAATAGGAGAAGGGCTCTGGTTTCCCCTTGCTCCCGGCCCAGTTTTTCCGTTGCAGTCCCAGTTCTCACAGGCGGTGCTGTCGCTCTCCCTGGGACAGGGCGGGCAGCGGGGTGGGGCGCCGTGCAGGCCGTGCAGGGCAGACGGGGAGGAGGCTGCACGCCCAGAAGGTTCTGTCATACCCCCCAGGGGAGCTCTGAGCCCAGCAGCTCCCGCTGCGTTTTAAAATCGGCGGTTAAAAAAAAAACAAAACACGACGCCACGTTGTACACACTTGAGGGGAGGGGGATGACACTGCTTGCGCGTGAGGCCCCCCTCCCCCAAATGGGTGAGAAAGAAGGGGCCTGGAACCTTGGGAAATGAACTCCCCCAGGCTCCCCCCAAAAAAGCGGCTCGCGGTCAGGCCCCAGTGCTGGAGAGCAAGGCCCGGCCGGCGGCGCGCACACTCCCGGCTTCTGCCCCACGCGCGCCCGAGCGTTCGTGTCGGGAAGCGCGCCAGCTTTTCCAGGGTCCCCCTCTCCCCCACTTAGAATTTTCCTCCCCGAGGATTCCGAGCGACCCCTCCTCCCTCCAGGCCCGGTTGGCGGGGCTTGGGGAGGGGAGCGGACCCCCCATGAGCGCCGGAACGCCGCGACCCAGGTTAACGGGGGGCATCTCCCGGGCGACCGGCGCGACAACAAGATGGCGGACGATAAAGAAGGTAGGGAGCGCCGAGGGAACGGCGGCCCTCTCCGCCCGCGGCGACCTGGAGCTGCCCCCCTGGGGGAAGCGTGGGCCGGGCAGGGCGCGGGCAACCCTCCATCTTCTCGCCGCCGCGAGGAAACGGTGGCCTGAGGAGGGGCGCTCCCAGCCCCCGGCCTCGCCGCGCGCCCGGCGGCCCCGCCTCTCCCCGTGTCCCCGCCCGCGGAGGCCGGGGCTGCGGCGCGGGCTGCGGCGGAGGCGGCGTCCTGCGGAGGCTGATAATGGCGTCCTTGTTCCCGCTCGCCGGGACGCCCCCGCCGCCTCCACCCCCTCGCTGGGGGCTGGCTGCCGCAGGCGCCGCGCCAGCAGCTGTCCAGGGTTTGTGGGCAGCGGGAGGGCGGCCCGGACGAGGACGGGCTCTGACTGCCGGTGTGTGGCGGAATCCTGTCAGGCCGCGCTGAAACCCCGCCCCGGTGCGGGTTTGATGGCGTCTGCGGCCACCATTTTGCCTCCTCGGTGAGGACACGGGGAGGACGGACTCGAGGTCACAGCCGTCCTCTGTGCCTTTCTCCGGCTAGGGAAATGCGAGGTTACAGCCTGTGTGGCGTCTTTAAAAAAAAAAAAAAAGGAGGAAGAAGACAATTAACAGCAACATTATTAATAAGGAGGAAAAAGCCAAAATGAACGGGGACGCGTGTGAGGTCTGTCCTGGTCCCTGTCTCCGGTCGCCAGCTCTGAAAGGATTTGAAGTGTTGTTGATGTGAAGCCCAGATTATCCACGTTTCTTTTTGAAAGACTTTAACGTTGATTTTAAATCAGGGATGTGACTGAAACCCGGGTCCCTGGTTATCATCCCTTTAGTTGCGCCAAAATAATTGATAATTGGCAAATGCAGTAAAAGCATCAAGAGCCATGAAAGAGTAGAAGCGAACATCTTAAATTTGAAATACTATTACACTTTAGCTTATTTTTTTGAGTCCTTAACATGCCCTATCCATGTACTTTTAAAAAATTTAAGTCAAGGAACAAAGGTAGTTGAGTTCACAACTAGAATTTACATGAGCTGTTAGTCTCTAGTTGTGGTGATCCGAGAAAATACGCAGAGTCGAACTAAGGCTGTGCTAAAAGTACTTGATGACAGGAATACTGATTTTTATATTAATCCGGAGAGGCACGGTTTTTTTCTTTATGTTGCATTCTCCAGGAAACATGTTAATTTGGTTTATGCAGTTAATATTTTAAAATCACTAGGGAATAAAGGAGTTCATCTCAAGATTTTTTAAAATGCCCAAATTGATCTGATTAGTCTGAAAAATTGAAAAAGCTGTCCATTTTAATTTTCAAAACTTTTAAAATTTAAAACCAGTTGATTTGGATGAAGGTAAAATTCCATGTGCAACCATAGAAGAAACCATGGCTGTTGAAAGCTAGAGGTCGTTTATTCATTTGGCATGTTTTTAATTCTTGTCAGGGGGAAGGCAGCTTCTGCCTAGGTTAGGTTGGGCTAAGTTAGGATACTGGGGGATATCATTGTGCTTGTTCCTTAGCTGAGCTCCTTGAAGGGGGTGACACCCACATGGGAAGGAGCAGTTGACTAGGCAGAAGGGCTTTTGTGCCTGGTGCTATGGTCCCTGATGATCTGTGGACAAGACGGAAAGGGCAGTTTATCAGAAATGAGGAGTCTCTGGCACCACCTAGATCTACTGTATCAAGTGTCCTTATATGAGCACATCTGTGGTACTCCTTTTTTTGCGTCAAAGTTTGAGATGTGCTGTTCTGTGGCATAGCTCATTCTTAACAAGGGTTTTATGAGGATATTACACAGTATACACTTATAGTAAAGATACACAAGTTTTAAGTTAAACTTTTTTTTAAGTACAATTTCTGTTTGGATAAATTAAAAAAAAATTTTCAGGAGTCACCTGATTTTGCAATTTTAAAGGGCATGATGAAATAAATGGGTACTCACCTTTCTAAGATATTTGTGTGGATGTTTTTTATTTTTATATTTCATTGTACTTTTTAAAGACATCTTTTTGAAGTGTGAATGTGCTTACCTCACCCCACATTTTTTGTTGTTGTTGTTTGGTTTTAAGATTTTGTTTGAAAAGCAGAGTTAGGGAGACAGAACTTCCACCTGCTGAATCATTCTGCAAATGGCCTCAAAGGCCAGGGCTGGGCTAGGCTGAAGCCAGGAGCCATGGCAGGAAGGTGGAGTGAAGTGGAGCAGCCGGGACTTGAACTGGTGCCCAAGTGGGATCCTGGCAGTGTCTTAGCCCTCTGTGTCACAGGATTGGCCCCTGATTCTCAGTTCTGAAAGTTCAAAAATTACACGTCACCTGTCAGAAATTGATCTGGATTTGGGGATCTATCTAGGCAAGGCTGACTTGCGGGCCTCTGTGCTTGGAGAGTTGAAGCAGTGGTGTGTGCGTGCCGTGACCAGCAGCTGGTTTCACTAGGTAGTAGACCATTACAGGTGTATTTCAGTTTGGGGGCAGTGTGAGTTTATGTTTCAGAAGTTTTGATCAGCTTAGAATCACACAGATGGTTTGCAGGATTTTCCTGTTATCCTGTAAGTTTCCAGAGGTCAGAGACTGTTACTGATCTGTAACTGTCTGCCAGAGGTTTTTTGTTTGTTTGTTTTTTGTCAAGATAAGCAACACATACTTACTCATTTGGGTTAAATGTATCTGAAAGTACATGAGGCTAATTTATTTTTCTTCTTTAAGCTATATGCTTCTGTTTCATCTGGTTTCATAACTTATTCTTTTTTTTTTTTTTCCAGTGCCAGAGTACTTACTGGCACTAAAAATAAAACCCCTAGTATTCTTTGTAGAAGTATGGATATATTTTCAACGTTCAACTTTGATCTTGAGTTTTATTTTTGTAAGTTGTGAAAATGGAGTAGTTTCCAAGTAGCCATTGTTTTGAACTGCTCTTTAACATTTAAAAATAATTTCGATGCAAGGATTGAAAATACTGATATTGTTGTATAGTGGGTGAAGTTGCTGACTGTGATGCTGAAATCCCTTTTGGGCACTGGGTCAAGTCCTGGCTGCTGTACTTCCCCTCCAGCTTCCCACTAATGCCCTGGGGAAAAGCAGCAGAAGATGACTCAGAACTTGGGTCCCTGTATCAACTAGGAGACCTGGAAGAAATCCTTGGCTCCTGGCTTCAGCTTTTGCAGCAGTCTATCCAAGCAGATAGAAGCTCCAGCTCTCCAAATCTCTTTTCCTTTGTGTCTCTCCCCTGCTCCGCTCTCTGATTTACAAATAATCCTTTAAAAATACTGAAAATATTGCTTAAGTTAACCTATTAGAAGGGCTGTTAAGCACTATTAGTAAACTTTTTCTATAAGATCATGTAGTTAAAGCTGCTAATGCTTATATATATTTTTGTGCTTTTTGCATTTTTATACTGTAGCACAGTACAATTCATTTTTCCTAGGTTAAGAAATTTATAGGGCCCAGAATGATAGCATAGCGGCTAAAGTCCTCACCTTCAGCATGCTAGGATCCCATATGGGCGTTGGTTCTGATCCTGGCAGTCCCGCTTCCCATCCAGCAGTCGAGGACAGCCCAAAGTCTTGGGACCCTGCACCCATATTGGAGACCTGGAGAAAGTTCTTGGCTCCTGGCTTCGGATTGACTCAGCTCTAGTTGTTGCGGCCCTATGATCTTACCTTTTATACTGCACTCTGAATAGTTGTGGAGGAAAAATTTGGTAAGATGTTAGAGAAATAATTATTTTAAAAGCAAAGTATCAAAGATAGGTCCTTAATCTGTTGGTTCACTCTCCAAATGCCTTCAACAGCTTAGGACTTGGCCATACTAAAACTCAAAGCCTATCCAGGTCTGCTATGGGGTGGAAGGGATTCATCCTGGGCCATCATCTGCTGGTTTTCCAAGGACATTAGCAGGAAGCTGGCTGGAGTGGACATGCAATAGCTAGGACCCAAATCAACTTTTTGGTATGGGCTGTGGGCATTGGGATATTTTTCATTTTAAGACATTTGTCTATTATTACCAGGATCTGTTTTTAGCTACAGCACTTCTAATACCCGTAGCATAGGTTACAGAAATTAGACATTTCTGTAGTTCTCTGTAGTGCCAACTGAGTGTTCAGCAATGTAACTTAGTTCTGATAATTTCGTCTTAGTCCAGCCTCCACCACCACTTCCTGCCATCCAAGTATAGTAGTTGCCAATCACAAATAGAGGGGCCTAAAGTTGCCTATGCTTCCATGTGACCCGATACAAACAGGTTTCTGGGCCTGGCACAATGGCTCAATTGACTAATCCTCCCCGTTCAAGTGCTGGGATCCTATATGGGCACTGGTTTGTGTCTTGACTACTCTGCTTCCATCTATCTCACTGCTTGTGGTCTGAAAAAGGACCAGAGGATGGCCTAAAGTCTTGGGACCCTGCACCCACATGGGAGACGCAGAAGAAGCTCCAGGCTCCTGGCTTCAGATTAGCTCAGCTTTGGCTGCTGTGACCACTTGGGTAATAAATCAGTGGGCAGAAGATTTCTTATTTTGTTTTCTCTTTGAATCTACCTTTCCAATACAAAAAATAATAATAATAATAAATTTTTTGAGAGGTTTAGAGCCAGTGATGTTGGCATAGCACAAAATGCCACTACCTGTGATGTTGTCATCTCATATGGGCTCCTGTTCATATCCTGGCTCTCTACTTCCAATCTGGCTCCCTATTAATGGCCTGGGAAAGCAGTGGAAGATGGACTGGGTGGTTGGGCACCTGTACCCGTGTGAGAGACTTAGAAGAAGCTCCTGGTTCCTGGCTTTGACCTGGCTCAGCCCTGGCTGATGCAGGGCAGTGAACCAGTAATGGAAGACCTCTCTTTCTCCCTCTCTCTAAGTCTGCCTTTGAAATGAATAGATAAATCTTAGAAACACACACATGGAGTTGCAGTGGAGGTTTGGGGCAGGCTTGTCATGTCCCACTTTAGACAGCCTGTGGGTTAATACCTCGCTGTGACTTGTCATTGCAGCTTCCTG